TCTCTCTCTCTCTCTCTCTCTCTCAAAAAAAAAAAATCTGGATCTTAATAGGATCACAAGTCCACTTCTTGTACAGCAATTAACCAATAAGAAGAATATATGCAGTGTATTATTTGTTGAAACTGTACTTCCGATTGGATTTGAAACTGTCTCATTGCTATCTGTTTATCAATAAAACTTTGAAAAAAAAATCTGGATCTTAAACGGACTCTTGCACTGGTGCTTCATATCCATCAGCTCATTCAACTCTAGCTCCAGTCTCATCCCCAGTAGCCTTTCCAGAGCTGCTACCTTCACCATGAAGCTCCATGAGTTTTCCCAATTCAAACTTGGCCTTCTTCAGCATTTTTACTTTTCTGACGAAGACATCACGAAGAGGATAGATAGATTGGCAAGCCTTTTCTATGTCTTTCCCAGTGCTGCCTGGAATCAGTTTATTGACCCCTTCCTTCAAGTCATTTGTCTGCACCTCTCGGGTCATAATTTCCATCATCTTCTTCCGGATCTGGCGGACCTGCTGGTGCTGAGCGTAAGAGGTCTTCCGTATCTGATTGTTGCATTTTTTAGTAAAGCCAACACAGAACAGTCGAAGCAAATAACCATCGGTAGTCTTGATATCAACATGCGCTTTGATCATGGTCTGCCATTTTTTGACCATGGAACACATTTTGTCCTGGGTGAGGTCCTTGCCGTGGCAGTTAGTCAGGCAGTTTTTGCCCTGAACATCTTCAGTAATTAGCTTGAATTTTCTAAAGGCAACTTCATCATTCTACAGGTCAGCAAGGCTCACTTCAAACACACGATCTTTGAGCCCATCAGATGCAATTTTGGTTCCTTGGGTTCTGGTGATGAGTGTTTTTCCAATATTTCTTATGTTGAACATAGCTGGTGCCTTCACATCATACCAGTCTTTTTTAGAAAATGGATCAACCAGTTTTTTCTTGGCTCCTTCTTTGCTGTCTTTTGTAAGGTGCTTGTTCTTGCCTACCGCCATGGTGCTGCTCAGAGAGCCAAAAAGGCTTCTTACTGTTTTTGAGACACAGTCTCACTGGGTTGCCCAGGCAAGGTTAGAAATTGTGATCTTCTTGCCTCAGCCTCCTGGAGTACTGGAATTACAGGCGTAAGTTACCACACTCGGTGTGCATTCTGTTCTTATAGGAAGGAATATCCTCCTAGAAGAAAACAGCAAATGAGCAAGTTCTTCAGAAAGCAGTAACAATCTGAGAGCACTTGGTGAAAAGCAGATCCCCTGGTGTCAATCACGAGGCTAACTCACACCTAAATGTATTCTTCCTTGGAATCCTCAATTCTCAGCATCCTGGGGTAACTCCACTGCTCCTCTGTAGTCAGCTTCCTTGTCTTCTGGGGGGAGGCAGCTGCCTTGGTGGTGTGGGGACATATTCCAGACTTGCTTGCTTGGGTAAATCCAAACTGTATGGCACTGGCCAATTTCCAAGGCCCTGCCATTTCTTGTCCCATACCAATCCAAAGATCTGAACCTTCCAGCAGGTCTGGGCTTTCCTTAAGGATTTTCATTCTGAACCAACTTTATTCTCAGAAGCTTTGTTTTTCTCCTCAGAATTTCCTCTGGGAGAGAGTCCTTGCTTATTCCCAAGCTTACTCTCTGCTTCCAGTTCTTCCACCCTAGGAGGGTATTCCACTAACTCAGTTGCAGTGGGCAGCAGGAGTGTGCTCCTCCTGGGAAGAGTCTTGCTCAGGAATCAGAGATGCCCCATTATTGCACCTCTGTGAGTCACTTTCCTTCCTCTTCCCTGTGGTTCAGCCACTGGAAAGAAACCTTGGTTCTGTTATAGCCAGAACATGGAAGATTGATGGGAAGCCTGCCAGAGTGTCCTCCTGTGCAGACTCAGCCCCTCAGACTCCATGACTGGCCTCCTGGGTTCCACCTGGCAGATGTCGACAGACCTAAAGCACTTCTTAAATTTTTGGATAGCAGGGTAACTAGTTATGGTGACTATCCTTTCAAGCCACAGGTTGCCTTGCTATGGATATGCCGGCCATGCTCTCTGTGTTCCTCAGCTTGATTTTTTTTTTTTTTTCTGTGTCCTTGCATTTCTGCAAGTCTCCACAATACTGGGACAATTCTTCTACCATAGGTTTCTCTTTTTCCTTTCTATAACATCCCTAGATTATTCATCACAACTCCTTAGAAATGTCTTAGAACTGAATGTTTTGATTATTAAGAAACTGTAAGTTAAAAATCAGTTTATCCTAAATGACAGAAACCCCCAGAACAGTGATTTAAACATGATACCAATTTCTCTCACATACATATGATCTGAACTTTCCAAATTCACTACCTGACTTTCATTGATGAGTTTATCTCAATTTTACTTTTAATCTTAGCTCTCTGGAAAGCTGCAGTAGGAGGATCGTGAGTTAGAGCCCAGCCTTGAAAATTCAGGGACTTATCGAGAACCAATCTCAAAATATTTTTATTGTGTTAGGGATGTGGGGATATAGCTCAGTTCCTATACCTTGGGTTAAATTCCCAGGGAGTAGAGGAAGAAAGACAAAAAATACTGAGCCAGGTGGGAAACATGCTTGTAATCCCAGCACTCGGGAGGCTGAGGCCAGAGGATTGACGAGCTCAAGACCAGTCTGTGCTACACAGTGAGTACAAAGCCAGCCAGAACTACATACAGAAATTCTGTACCAAACCAAACCAAACAACAAAAAATACACACCAGCCAATACATGTATATTTTAAATTTTGCCTTTCCATTTTTCACTAAATTGTTTTATTGTATTTTCTATATTTGGAATCATTTTCCTGTTTTATTTACTTTAATGCATCTCTAAATATATGTTATACATATACACATGTATATGTATCTTGATTCTTTGAAATAGTCTCACTGTGTAGCCCAACTGGCTTCAAACTTGCAGTGATCTTCCTGTCTCAGCCTCCCAAGTGCTGGGATTACACGTACACACCACCACACCCAGCTTCTGATAATATTTTTTAAAAGCTTTTGTGTAAAAATTGAAGGTGTGAGTGCCTGACAATGCTGTTGCTACAAACATCTAAATGATAGTTCGGCTGAACATAAAACTATAGGTGAAAAGCACTTCAGGAACCCTTCAGACTCTTTGCACCCTTATCTTCCAGTGTCTGTGCCCCTGAGCGACTTGGGGTGGCTGTGTTAGCCATGTCTCTTAGGATGGTCCTTTGTACACCGGCCTTTGTGCCTTTTGACATCATCATCTTGGTTTCGGGCCACTCTCGAGTTGCATCAGTGTGTCCACCTAAGGCTTTCCTTATCTGCCCTCCTCAGGCTTCTCTGAGTCTTTAAATCTTTCCAAATTCACTACTTTAACTTCTAATATTCACCCTTCCATTTCCTTCCCTCTACTTCACAGATTCTTACAATCCAGACGTTGGCACTAATATACATTGTGTAGATTTATTATCTTCACAGATTCTTATAATCCAGACGTTGGCCCTAATATACATTGTTTGGATTTATTATCTTCTTCTATTTGATCTTGTTTGCTAATTCCTGCTTTGGCTGTATCTATCTGCTGTTTGTTTTGTGAAACCAGAATATCTGTGTTTAGATCCTGGCTCCAGGGGTAGCTCAGAGGCAGGGTATTTGCCTAAATGCTTCAGGCCCTGGTTCAATCTCCAGTACTTAAAACAAACAGACAAATAAATAGAGTCCTAGCTCCACTTTGGGCAGTTAACTTCTTTACACCTCAATTTCTTCATCTGTAAAGTGGAAAAAATAATACAGTGGTAAGTGCTTCACAAACTTTATTTTTTGTTGTTGTTGTTGTTGTTGTTCGTTTGTTTGTTTGGTGCTAGGAATTGAACTCAGGGCCTCATAATTGACAGACAGGAAGTGTACCAATGTGCTGTATCCATGGCCCTTCATGAATTTGATTCTTTCCACGACTCTGGTTGCAAACTGAATTGGGTGAATCAGATTCAGTGGCTAGGGCTCAATGTTGACCTTATAGGAAAGTCTGATTGAGTTCTCCTCCAATTCAGTTTGTGACCAGAATTGTGGCGAGAATTAAATTCATGAACTGGAATACCACTGTAGTACAATTAGTGAAAACTAGATATATTCATTTATGAGATGCACATAGAACACGGCCTGGTATGTAGCAAATAATATGTAGATTCTAGATATTATCTGTTGTGTTCTTTGTGTTTTTCCTCCGGCCTCAGCCTCCTGGGCACTGGGATCACAGGAGTGCACCACTGCTCCTGGCTTACTTAGAGTTCTACTTATTCCCCCGTACATGCTTCCTATTACTAATAGCCTGGATCTACTGGGAAGATACTTGTTACTTCTCCTAAATGCATAGTCCATCTGTACTAATAACTTTGCTTCTGGAATGTGGATGCTGTGTGCAAATCAGTTTTCTTGTTTTTCTAATTAGCTCTACGGTATACATTAGGGAAGGGGCAAAGCCCAGTCTTCCTGGGGTGACTCTGAGTCAGAGAGACCATGACCCTCAGGGCAGAGAGCCACCGGGACTATAGAGGAACTGGCCCCAGCCCAGCTTCCTGCTGTTACCCTCGGAAACTCCTTGGGTCAAGGATTCCCTCTTCAACTCTTAGGAAGGGCTACAGGGACTGGGAGGAGGGCTGGCCTCCTTGGACTGCAGTGCTCACATCCTACAGCTGGAGAAGGAAGGGTGTGGGGTGCGTCCTCCACCCGAACTTGTTTCCAGTAGCACCTCCTCATCCAGGGCCTGGGGTTGACTGATGCAGTCCTGGGGCCGGCTGGGTGGAGTGGGAGGGAGCTGTTTCCTCACTAACTGTGGTAAGTCCTTTCTTCAAAGTTTCTCACCATTTTCTGTACATCCTCAGCTCC